TATATATATATATATTTTTTATATATATATATATATATATATATATATATATATATATATATATATATATATATATATATCTTCTTACATATAAAATTTTACATTTAAAATAAACATTTTCCAATTCATTATCGATATTAAATAGAATATAATAAATATTTAAATTTACTATCAATATTAAGTAGAATATAATAAATATTTTAATTAATGTAACATAACATGTTTTAGAAATTATTATTATTCTTCAGAAAAAACATTCATCTCATATTAGAATAATTCTGATTATATCTTGCAAAATACATACTAAAATAGATTACAGCTGAATAGTTTACGTTATTACCTTGAGATAAGATTATGATAACTAAATAAAATTAAGATAATAATTTAAAAAAAACAGTTTCCAATTTTAGGCAATTTTTCTTTTTACTATGTGAAGGAATATAACAATAATAGTGAAAAAGTAAGAGAGTGTGTGTATGTGTGTATGCGCTCGTGCCCGCGTGATAGTAGTGGAAGGGGAGAGGGTGAGTGCGCGCACAGGAAAGGAGAGATCTCGTTCGCGTAAATATAAAACATCGCGGGAGCGTGGGACGTAGTCACCGTCGATCTCGAGAATAGCGAGGTCAACGGAGAGCTATTACTTGAGAGTTACGCCGGGTCTCCGTAGGTAGCTTTATAAATTTAGAATCGGGCAATTTACGGTGGGCTTACCGGGTCCTAGGTCCTCCCTGACATGCAGCGCGCACAGTACGCAATGCGCAATGTCGAAGTAAGGGAACATTTTCAGCTTAATGACCTGGTTGGCCATATCCAAGAACGCTTCAGGATCCATCGTAGGGAACACGGACTTCCGTTCGTTTGTTCGACAATAAACGATTTCACGTCGTAATTCCAACGTATATTTACTCTCACTCTTTAATTCAAATGTTCACTCTACAGAATACCCACGAGCGACACTACTACACGCTGTCTGCTACAGTCACCGTCCTGTCGTCTGCTAGAATTAATCTTAAAGACCTCGTACGGCAAAGCCGCAAAATACCAAATTCAAGGATATTAGTGAGAAAGCGGTTACTCTATTGAAGTTCTTCGCATCTAAGTTTTGGTGCGCCATCTGAAGGAGTAGATATAAAATATTTCAACGATGTATGAAAATATAACTAAAACGCAAAATTAACGACTATTGTTCGTTTCGAATAGCATACAGATTGAGTACAAATCTTCCTGTAGCCATATAATTCTAGTATCGAATTCAACTGTTTATCAGTGAAATGATCTGCGGGGAAGAAAAAATTTATATATAAATTTTGTCCATATATGGTTATATATGATCATATATAATTATATATGTTGACATTGAAAAGAATACTATTGTGAAGATACAATTGAAGTAAATCCTTAGGCTGGGAGCACAGACTTTTGCATAACGCATAACGCATAACGCATAAGGGAATCAACCAATCAAAAACCTTTATTTCCCTCTTCAGGATAGAAATGAATGACTCTGATTGATTGATTTCCTTATGTGTTATGCGTTATGCAAAAGTCTGTGCTCAGGCCCTTATGTTTATGGTAGCTCATGATGTCGACGTTTAATTGAATCAAATTGTTTTCCTTTTTTCATTTGATAATTTTCGTTTTATATATATAATTAGATATGATCATATATAAGGTCATATATATAAACAAAATTCATATATAATCATATATAATTATATATATTTATATATTATATATAATCTTTTTTCTCGGGTGTACAACATTCATATGTATCGTTTTGTTCGCTAACATAGACATATAATATATAGACTGCTAATTTGGTTGAGAAAGTTGTACGAAAAATAAAAAGAGGAAGATGCTTTGAGTCCATAGATATATATAATATATCCTAGACTAACTTGGCCGCCATTAGTGTACCAAGATATAATGTACAATTTATACATAGCATAGTATCCCAAGGAGCGTTTCACTTACCGCCGCAATTGATATGAACATAAAATAGAACGCTTCCTGAGCTGCTACTTACAGCTGTGAAATGGCAGTTTGTAAAAGTATATACATCTACATGTAATTACAGTTGTTAAACACACAGAGAAAGTATTATATATAAAGTCTAATTTTGTAAATTAAATGATAATACTAAATATAAAAGTAAAGTGTATGACACGCAAAAAAAAGTATATTGGAATCGTCAGTTCTAAAAATAAATAAAATAAAATAAAGAAACAAAAAAATTAAAATCCTAATTTGCTTTATTGTCAGGAATAAAACCAGGTTTTGATATATAAGCTTTCTGTCTCTCTGTCTCTCTCTCTCTCTCTCTCTCTCTCTCTCTCTCTCTCCCCCCCTCCCTTTCTCTCGATATAAAACTTCTGCTCTATCATTGAGGTACTATGTTCGACGCCTACCCAACCAACAAAATAATATTGAAAAAATATTTTTTTTAATATTTAAAAAACATTTACAAAACATTTTTAAAAACGTTAAAAACAATGGGTTAACTCTTTGTCATTAAAAAACCATTTTTTCAAATGTTTAGAAAAGACGTTTTTAAATATTTAATAAACTTTTTTTAATTATTTATTAAACGTTTACATGAACATTTATAAATATTATAAAAGTATAAATATTTTTTTCTTTTCTTGAATTTTTCTTAAATTTTCCACTTTATTGTTTTACACGCTACTTAATTCAATTTAAATTGTACACTTCGAAAATTTGCTTATCATGCTGAGACTCGAACCTGAAACCTCTGCTTTTTAAGTCGTTCACCTTACCCACTGCACCACTGTCACTTTCACCGAGGGACACTTTATATTGTATACATATGGTATTTTGTATATATTCATACGAAAACAAATAATTTATTAAAAAGAAAAGAATAGATATTTTTAAATGCAAAAATTATGTTTGAAAAGTACATAAAAAGTATAATTAAAAAATATTCACTTGTTTTAAAAGTAACTAAAATACAAAAAAATGACTTTGTAAATTTAAATAAATTTTTTCTAATAATAAAACTTTAATTTGAAGTACAAAAAAGATACTTTTAATATCAAAAAATAATTTAATTTAGATTTATAAAATGATTTACTTATATTTATTACTTTTAAATTTACTTGTATTTCATTTACTTTTAAGATAAACAAATATTTATTTAAACACAGTGTTTATATTTAAAAAAAACTAATTTTCTTCTTGTAAACAAATTATTTGCTTATTCCTTTTTATATAAATATTTTTAAAAAGTCAAAGAAATCTTTTTTATCTAGAAATTCATAAATTTACAACTCCTCTTATAAATAAAATATAAATTTATATTTATTACATGTTTTCTAAAATGTAACAAATATTTTTTTTAAATTTTAAGTTTTTTTTAATTAAAAAATTATATTTAACAAAATATATTTCTTTAATTTAATGAATTTTTTCAGGGTACCTTACTAATTTAAATTTCGATTTTCTTATTCTTCCATTAATTTAATAGTTATAAATAATTACATTTACTTTTTTTATATATAATATTTGTAAATAGAAATATTTACAAAATATTATTACAAATACTTATTTTTTATTTACTATAAATATTATATAAAATATTTAGTCTATATTTTAATAATATTTTAAATAAAGATTTTGGTACTTTTTCCCTTTATGTACCTAAAATATTTATAAAATCGTACTACAAACATTTATTTTTTGTTTACCTTAGATATTATACAAAATATTTAGCCTATATTTTAATAATATTTTGAATAAAGATTTTGATATTTTTTTTCTTTATGTACCTAAAATATTTATAAAATATTTATATTATATGTTTAAAAAATAATTTTACATTAATATTTATGAATCTTTATCATAAATATTGTGTGCTGTCTGGCATACGTACAGTATTCCAGCTATTGAAAGAATCTGAAAAACATCGTTTAGGCATTATAGATGTCTAAAAGACGATTTTTAATCCGAATAATGCTTTTTGGACGTCTTCCCAAAGTTTTTCTGATTCTTTGATTAGTTGGGATACGTCACGTATATTGTATGCATACACGTGAAACGGAATGCCGCGTAAATTGTCGCACGCGCATATATGTGTCGTGAGAAAAGGTCGGTTCTACAATATGTCGTTTGTCGAAGTCGAACATCGGAACGTAATCGATGGTCCAATGAGAAGAACTCGTTTATGAAAAAAAAACTCTTTTATTGAACCATCAACTGCATTTCGACATTCGACTCTGACAAACGATGTATTATAGAACCTAAATTCGACCTAAATGCGCCCCAACACTGCATGAAACCGACAAGTCGGAAGACAGCTAACTACATGGTCAACTAATCAATCAAACAACCTATCAAAAGATATGGGGAAAGTGGCTTGATTAAGATCTTTGCAACAAATACCCAGTGAGAAATGATTGGTCAATCGACATCGAAACGATGTCAAATCAATATCAAAGTCATTACATCGATATCAATTCGATATCGTTATGTCGAATAAAGAACCCAAATAGCAGACTCACATCAAAGTGACATTCAAATCTGGTCAGTTCATGACCAGAAGTAACCAAGGAATGAACAAAAATGTCGCAAAAGTATCATCAGACCAATGACGACATTTTAAAACGACTTAATGACGTTTTATGACGCCTCTAAACGTCAATAACACGTTATACAGAAATATCTTTAAAACGTCACAAAAAGACGTCTTAAAGACATCGTTATTTAGTCATTGATGTCGTTATTGACGTCAATCGACTAGTTATGACCAGTGACGTCATTTTGACGTGAGTTTGCTACTTAGGAAGCATTTTTCACTGATGTGAATTAAATATAAAATAAATGTTAAATAATAACGATGTAAACATTGACGGATCAATTTGGTGCGAGCGTGCCAAGTAGAAATATCGTACTAAACTAATACGCATATCAAATGATACAAATGACGATGTAAACGTATGAAACGAATGTTGGAGGAAACCTAATCTAATTAAAACCGGTGTTATCGGTAACCGTTGGTTTCAAATTATATTATAGTAAAATGTCTTGTAAAAAAGGAAAGAAGAAATGAGCACATTTTTAGAATTATGCATTCCTTCTGTCGGTCGAAGCTATCTTAAGCAAATTGCAATTCCAAATATCACCACTAGGAAGTAAACATGAATTAAATTCGTATTATATTTTTCCTTTAATACGTTTGATGTAAACGCATTCGTATTAAAGCATTGGTGCGCATCAAATTTAATACGCGTACTAACGTTTTGACAATGTAAACTAAGCCATTGTGTAGTACGATACTCTTATTTGGTACGCTCGCACCAAATTGATCCGTCAATGTTTATATCATGCGTATTAAATATTTAGTAAAATTTTGATAGGAATATAGTACCTGATACGCGTATCAAGTGCACGATGTAAACCAGGCCATTATCTCTAACTTTTATTATTTTTAACTTGGATTGTATCACATTCTCCCCACTCTCGACTATGAACCAGACAAAGATAAGAGAAGAAATAACAAGATATCTATACTAAACTAGATTGCTAACTAAGGCTTCGAATTTGCGTCGCATGAGGTTTCCGGTTGTATGTGAGAAAATGGCGGAGATCATGTGTGTACGACGCTTTATGTGTGATGCGTCACTTGTATGAGTACTTACAACATACAATGTGAATTAGCGTGGCCATTAAATTACTGTCGTAAAACCAAAAATGTCAGCATCTTATTGCATCAAAAAATGTTATAACAAAAAAATAGATGATATTGGACGTTATTTGCTCTGCTCATTTTCAACAAAAGAATTTTATGACTAAACGTAGTGAAAATATGTGGCCACATGTGAAAATAGCCACCATTTTCTCACATACACCGGAAACTCTATCGGACGCAAACTATTATATGCTTTTAGATAGCCTATTAGCAATCTACCCATATAGCACAAAATGTAATAGTGACATCACAATAACGTTACTCTGTGATAATAAACTATGTCGCAATGAAGTCACAGCGAAGTCACGGTTACATACGAACGTCCGCTTTGTCATATGTGTGATATCATTGTGACATCATTATGATATGAAGAAAAATATCACAGTGATGTATTTGTAACAATGACG